TTTTATTTTTTTTATTATGATGCTCCTGAAATTAAATTTGTCATGAAGTATTTGTATGCCCTTTTTTTGATTTGGGTCTTATATATTTTGCTTTCACATCCACCAGAAAATTATGTGTTAACCAAATGATAAGGTGAATTAATTGCAATCTTTAATTGTCTCAGGGAGGACAATCAGACAGACAGGAAAAATTGATTGGCAAGGAATCAAAAGTTATGACACAAGCAAAGCTGACCTCTTTATATGGAAACATCACAAAGGCAAATAATGGCTCATATAAGAGTGGGCTTGGCTCCAGAAGTAAAAGCTCTGAAGACTGCATGATTGTAGAAAAGGCTTGTCAATTCCAATCTTTCTAGGGTCATGGTCTCTCCAAATTTGTTAATCTTGAAGAGGAAGAAAGAGGTCATAGAATACCTAGGGATGAAACGAGCACATGTTGAAATTAGTAGCCCCAGAATGATAGTGTAAAGTACCATCAAGCGCTGAAATAGTAACAATGATGCTTCTTCCAATGGATTTGTGACTGCAAGAACAAAATTGGTATTTATTTGTCTTTGAGCTTTTTCTCTCTGTTGCTTGTTGTGACAATACTGGGCTGTAAATTTTTTTTTTTTTTTAATTATATGGCTAAAATAAGACCGTCCACATGTAGAGTTTATACCTTTCTTGTGCATAGGATGGGGACGAGGTTAAGTTTTCATTCATACCAGATGAAGGAGAACCATATCATATAATCATGGGCATTCCGTACGCATAGGCCTTTAGAGACTGAGGATAGAAAAGAGAATGAATATGATCTCCATTGGAATGACCTCCTATCAATTTTTTTTTTTTTTTTTTTTTTGGGAGTTTTAGCAGTTTTTGTTAGCTTATGTTTCATCCAGGAGTAGCAAACACTCAATGTTGACTCGTCTGTCGTAGGAAATGGATGTAAGGCAAAGGCGAGGGCAGGTGGGATCATCAAGTGCTTCAGAATCCCCTCAAAATGAGAGCAGTCCCTCAATTAGGGGTTATGGTGTGAAATCATATGGAGTTTCACGCCGTGGAGTTCGTGGTAATTTTGTTCCCCCAATCAGATCGAATGGGAGCAATGTTGGAAACATGACTTCAAGGGCTGCAGGAAAGAATGATGATGCATTAGATGACTCAACAAAGGCATGGTAAATATATATTCGTCATTGTTATAGGGAGTGTATCTTAAATAATATCCTTATTCACATTTGATAGCATTTAGTTTTCTCTGTTTTTATTTATTTTATAACTGACATCAGGGAAAGAGTTTCAATTATGAGTATTTCATAATTTATGGTATATTGGAGGTGCTTTTCTAAGAAGGATTCTCTTGTAAAAAAATTCTGTAAAAGCACTAATAAGTGCTTATGAAATAGTATCTATCAAGTACTTGAAGTCTTTTCCTTATACAAAAAAGAGTTTTGAAGAGCACCTATCATATGCTTCTTGGAAACATATTTCAAATTCTTTTATTTTGAAAAATGCTTTTGTCAATTTCAATTAAACATTCACTTTGTGACTTTTTGACTGTTTAAAAGAGTCTTTTACCATGTCAGACTGTGTCTTACACATTCTGATAACTTCTGGTAAATTAGAGGATTTGTCCTTCCGTGAAATTTTCACTGCGAATCGGTCTGTTCATTCTGCAATCAAGTTGCAGCTCTCCCGTTTGACTAATCAAACAACAATGTGTTTCGATTAGAATTGTAAACTTATATGTATACATTACCTAAACTGTAACGGAAAAAACTTGACCCAATAATGAAAGAGGGCATGCCGGTTTTATACTTTTTGATCTTGTAACCTTGGAAGAACTTTTTTACCCTGTTTTAACAACCCTTCACACACACACACACACACACACACAGACTCTACTGCACACAGATATGAATTATCAACCATGTGAGGTAAACATGCATGTCCTAATGTTCTTCTCCTGTTTTGATTCTAGTTTGGAAATGCTATGTGGTCCAGATGGTGAGCTTCCTGAAAAATTAAGGAATTTGGAACCCCGTCTAATTGAGCATGTTAGTAACGAGATTATGGATCAGGATCCCAATGTTCGGTGGGATGATATTGGTACAATGAAAGACACCAAATTTCCTTCTATTTCCTGTTTTGTGGTATCTGTGAAATTCTTTGTAATTTCAAATCATTGCTTGCCAATGTTGTAGCTGGTTTGGAGCATGCTAAAAAATGTGTGATGGAAATGGTCATATGGCCTTTACTGCGTCCTGACATATTTAAAGGTTGTCGTTCCCCAGGAAAAGGTCTTCTTCTCTTTGGTCCCCCAGTAAGTGTTGAATTCTCTTGTGTTAAGAGATTTAAACATCAGCAGATTGTAATTTATCTCTTAACTATTTTATTGCAGGGAACAGGAAAAACAATGATTGGGAAAGCTATAGCTGGAGAAGCAAAAGCAACTTTTTTTTATATATCTTCGAGTTCATTGACAAGCAAGTGGGCAAGTGTTATTTCTTTGGCTTTAGTTTGTGATTACTCATTGACACGATTCTCTGATGTAATATATGATTGATTGGATTGTAACTTGAGATACATAGACTCACACTACAAATAAGTTAAATTATAATCTATTTTCTGAATTTTGTCTCCATCATTTAGGAAATAATTGCCGATTTTTTTCAACTGTTAACTTCTAATATTTTCCTGATCCAAATTTTAAGTATAAGTGAATACATTGTAAATATGCAAAATTTTGATTGGTCGCTGCAGATTGGTGAGGGTGAAAAGCTAGTGAGGGCCCTTTTTGGAGTTGCCAGTTGCCGTCAGCCAGCTGTAATTTTTGTTGATGAAATAGATTCACTTCTTTCTCAGGTAACTTTTTTCCAGCCTTTGAAGGTATACATGAAATGGTTGTATGGATTGCCCTTGAATGCTGTATCTGTTTCCTAGCTGAGATCTACTGAGACCTCAAAAAATCTGTGACGCAGCCTAGTGATAGATTGGTTTCTTTTGCTGTGATTTTGTTTGATCCTTGGTGAATTGCTTCTCTTCTCGGGTGCATCTTCTCCAATGCACGTTACGCCAGTAGATATTAGGGACATGAACAGTGTACTAATGGTGTGCTAGATAGCTGTTTACACATTTGTTTAATCATCTTAATGGCTAGTTTGCTGGTGTATAATAGAGTCGCTTAGAAAGTTCTTATGTGGTTGCAGCGCAAGTCAGAAGGTGAACATGAGTCAAGTAGACGACTGAAAACACAGTTCCTAATTGAAATGGAAGGTTTTGACAGTGGCAGTGAGCAAATTTTACTTATAGGTAACTTTGGAATCCCTAAATACAATTATTTAGTTTTTGAAAGCTGTTTTACTGTTTGGATGAAAGATTTTGACTGTTGGTAGTTTACTACTGAGAAGCAAGCATATCTTGTGAGTTTGGCTACAATTTATGGCTTCTGTCATGCATTTTTCCTCTTTGCAATGGCTACTAAAAACTGTATGTTGAGAAAAGAAGTCTGAGTACACAGAATAATGTGTAATTAGTATTTTTTCTTTTGAAGCCATTATACATGAAGCCCGTCATCATAACAGAATTTTTTATGCAAGTGGACCTGTACTTTTCTTCTTCTTTATTTATTTTTGTATCTCTTTAACTATGACTTTACTCTTTATATTCTATGCAAGTAACATAATTTACATAGCAATTGCATTATCATCTGAACATTTTGCAGGAGCCACAAACAGACCCCAAGAACTAGATGAAGCAGCAAGGAGACGACTTACCAAAAGACTGTATATCCCGCTTCCTTCATCAGGTGCAAATTATATACCTCATTTATTTCCTCAACAATTTTTGTTAAAATAAATGTGTCGCTAACATGCTGGTATTGGAAATAAAGAATCAAGAGCCTGGATTATACGTAATCTTTTGGAAAAGGATGGACTATTCAAGCTTTCAGAAGAAGATATTAATACCATATGCAAATTAACTGAAGGTTGTTTATTACTTTTATCCTGAAGAGCTAAATTTAAATGTGACTCTTTTTATTAATTTTATGTAATTTTATTTTGAATTTTTGTTTGAAACCTCTTACTTGGTAATTTTCTTTTCCAGGTTATTCTGGATCTGACATGAAAAACTTAGTGAAGGATGCATCTATGGGTCCACTCAGAGAGGCTCTGAGACAGGGCATAGAAATAACCAAACTGCAAAAAGAGGACTTGCGACCAGTAACTCTTCCGGTAACGATATACATACATTTATTAATCAAAAATTAAAAATATGTGACTAGGAAGTTGAATAATTGAATCAGTTTGATTGGTTCCGGTCATTACTATGTTGTTTTTAAAATTTTTCATATAGGACTTTGAGCATGCATTGCAAGAGGTGCGGCCCTCTGTTTCTTTGAACGAACTTGGCACGTACGAGGAATGGAATAAACAATTTGGAAGCTTATCCCTGTAGAGATTGCTTTGAATAGAAAGAAATTCATGACCAAGAAAATACAGTCTGTAAGTTTCACTTTGTTATATCAATAAACATACGTTGACTTCTATTATCCCTAAAGATGTTTCACTAATCCCCAATGCAGTAAAAGTTTCCCACGCATGCAATGACTATAAATAATCTAAGCGGATTACTTTTTTTTTTTTTTCATTTATTTACAAATAATTTGGCCAAGTTATGAAGAATAAAACAAAGAGGGTCATATAAACTACCTTTTTCTTATTTTATTTTATAGTACACATTTGACATAGTAGATGAAAGAAAAAAAAAATAGGCCATGGGGAAATGGTATACGATGACTAGGAAGATTCATTATTATAAAGAGCGCCCGACTTTTTGTTCTTTAAATAAAAACCTTACATGTGAAATAATCATTCCAAGCACGCATGTGCCTGCTTTCTGACCTGATTTAAATATTAACCCATCTCACATATTGACAAATGATAATCACATATATGTTTATCATTAAATGATACATGATTCTAGACCTTGTTTAAAATATTCATTATTGACGAATCTAATCAGTATGATTAGCGAAGCTGATAAAAATAATGTATAAAGTTTTTAATATATGATTGTTATACATAATATTTATTTTCCTCCTAGCTATGTTACATGGGAGGCAATGTGCCATGGCTTTGGCAATTGGCATGTTCCATTGCCTATCCAATTTAAATTAATATCATTGACTCTTGACTAAACCAATTGGAAGTCTATTTTAATTGCTGATCTCTCCGGCGAACCAAAACTTTTAATCCGCCGGCCATGTGAGCCGTCAGGAGTGGCACGAAGACTGGTTGATCGGACCTGACTGGTATGATTTCAAACTGCTCCAATATTGAAGCTACTACATACTTCATTTGAATGAAAGCCATCTCCTTTCCGAGACAAACCCTTGGACCAGCTTGAAAAACAGGAAATTTATATGGACATACCCTTTTTGGTTTTCCCTTTCTGTAGAACCACCGCTCTGGTTTGAACTCGAACCAATCTTTACCCCATAATGCTTCCATTCTTCCCATTCCGTAAGGAAAATATGTCACTCTATCTCCTGCCTGGACTGGTGTCCCATCTGGCAACAAATCGTTAACAACAGCATGTTTTGAGTCCCAGGCCACTGGTGGGTACAGTCTCATGGACTCACAAAGGCTAGCCTTCAACAATTTTAATTCTTTCAGTGATTCGTAATCGAATGTTTTTCCCTTAGTGAATTTTATCTCTTTAACAAGCTCTTGCTCTATTTCAGGATTGCAGGAAATCAACCAGAATAGCCATGTCATTGCTGCTGAAGTTGTATCTCGACCTGCCATAATCAGGCTTATCATCAAATCTCTTATCACCTCTTCATCTTCCCCACCCAATATCAATCGAGATAAGAAATCCTGATGACAATCTTTTCCTTTACCATGAATTGTCATCTTCTTACTTTGAATAATTTCTTCCACATATTCTTGAACTACTTCAATGGCATCTCTAAGTCTTCTCTCGGATCCAATTCCAAACCATTTCTTAATCTTCCAAACCAAAAACAAAGGTTCAGTTGCACGCCTGGCGGATATCTCTGATGCCATGTCAAAAGCTTTTGCCAGCGACAGAGCAGGCGAAGAAGGATCTAAGCAACATCGATCCACCCCGAACGAAACTTTACAAATCATATTGAAAGCAAGTCTCCTGAGCAACTGCTGCAAGTCTACCACTTGAGATGTCTCCGCTACGCCCTCCAGCACCGGCAACAGCCGGTTTTCAACTTCATCCTTGAGTTTATTCATCAAAAATTCTTTCAACGAGTTGGCGCTAAACTCATGGCTAGCTAACTTGCGTTGGGTTCTCCAGAGCTCCCCATCCACATTAAATATGCCATAGCCGAGAAAGTCCCCAAGAATCTCAGTGAAAGGCTTGCCTTTGGGGAAGTTGTTAAAGTTCGTTTTGAGCATGTACTCAACGTTTTCCGGGTTTGCAGTCACAATGGTTCTTCGTGCACCAAACCGGCTGACAACAATCGTCTTGGTAGCTGATTTTGCCAGGAGTTCAGTGTACCAATCCAACAACCGGTGCTGATTCTTGTAAAAGGCTACCAAACATCCGATTACAGGGAACGTTGGGGGACCGGAACACTTGGAAACTCGTTGGAAATAACAAAAAATTACGTGAAACATGTAGAGAAACATTGATAGGAAAACAAAGAACCAGGGCTGCAGTGAAAGGAGAGACATGAAAATGTTCATCTTGGCATGCAGTAGACAACTGAAATGAATGGGGTTGAAGATGACTGACTATATGGCTTCATCAATGAAGCAAACAGAAGACTATTCAGCAGTTAATGCTGTATGTATATAAATATAAATATTATAAAGTTTAAAAGTTTTTTTGTAGGGCGTGACAAATTAGCTATATATATAAGTTTTAATCAAAAGTCATAATATATAAGACTATTCTCTCTCTAATTTTTCCAAAGCGTGCTTTTTGTGTTATTACAGTTATGCACCTCAATAATGAAATTGGTACAGTTGAATGATGGAGAAACATGGTTTGCCACTCTCTCTTGCTTGTTTTTATATGGTTGGTAATGCTTGATTTTTGGTTGAACATGCCTATGCCTTAAGTTAGAACTACAAATATATATTTTCTTGTTGTGGGGTATTCTTTTTTATGTGAAAACATTATTATTATTATAGGATTGATTTTAAGGTAGGGGTTGACTTGCAAGTCTTACATACATGCGGCTAAAATTAGAAGTCTTTTTTAATAATTATAAGGACATTAACAAAGAAAAGAGTTTTTCTATATATCCAAGTCAAGCTTCTTATATTAATGTGTCCCCTAGAAATGAAAATGGCAACACACATGAGACTGTTCAGAATTGTCTTTTCTTTATGATATTAAATTCGTATGGCATCTAAAAATGCCATGTGACTGAAATGGTTTTCCATTTCCATTAAATCTGAGTGACCACAGATTGATTAATAAATGAAGACAATCTGACCCATAATGGGTGAACCACCAATCTAAGGGCTGGGGTTGCAGACAACTTTATACGGCTACAATTAAACCCTTCAACTAACTTGAAGACAATAAGTAGTGGAAGGTTGTAGATAAGAATAAAATTTGAGGGGTCCTTTTGAATTGAAATAAATACAATAAAAAATCTCTACTCAGGACACGTCTTCATAACAATGATTTCTTTTGCAAATTTATACATACCATTTACATAAACTCTACAGTCTACAGAGTAGAGTAGAGCGGCTAGTTTTGTCTCTTGGCTTTCTTTCAATTAATTATTTGAATAGAGTCTTCCTTGTAGTTTCTGTAGCCGACATCAGATGGCACCTCATCTTTGCAAACGTGACTAAATTCACTTGGCCTCCATAATTTCTGATATATAATATTAAAATAATAGTAAGATTTTGTTGTCTTCCTGTGAAATAAATAATTGAAATACGGTGGGTATAGATATTTATAGGTTGGAAGGTATTATTACTCTCTTCTTTTATCTTATTTTTCAAACTCAAAAACTTTTTTCCACCCAAATAATGGTTTAATGACACTTTTCATTTACAGATTTCTAAAATATAATTTTATTATCTAAATTTATATTCCGTTTTCGATTCTCGAATTATTGCAACTTTATATCACCACCATTCTCTTTCCCTATCATTACTCACCAAAATTCCTTAAACTCTAATCCCGTTGACCCGACAATCATACGAATAAAGTTTGCACAGCCGCCGCTTTAATGTCAAATTTCGATCAATCTCAATCTTCAAAATCCAACCTTTCACCACTAAAAGATTCATCAGTCTTCTCTCTTCAAAATCCCTAATCCCTAACAGCTTGGACCAAATTTGCTCTTTGTTTATTGTCAAAATATAAATTTGGGTGATAAAGTGATATTTTAAAAGTTTATGGGTGAAAAAGTGTCATTAAACTATTATTTGGGTGGGAAAAAGTTGTTAACTCTATTTTTTATCAATCTTTAAATCATTCATAATTTAAATGAAGGTAATACCATAGATATCCTATCCAATAGTTGTTATAAGTCAACGTAAGTTATCACATTCATATAATTTTTCTTTTTTTTTAAATCTACCAATCTATCTACTATAATAAATAAAAAAAAAGAATTACATCAAAGAAGAAGAAATAACCAATGGTACTAAGCAAAAGAAACCTAAACAAAGGGGGATTTGTATAAGTACTTATCCCTTTTACTTTTAGTTGAAAAGGGTAAGAAGAAGAAAGACTCTTGCTATTTGTCCATGAATAATCCTAGGCCAACACCCCCCTCTCACAATGCCGACGTGGCACCTGACCTGGCATTATCACTGCAGCTCCACCACACCCAAGATGGAAAATGATTTTGACTAGACTAAAGAAACGACTATTCTTTTCATAGGAAACGGTAGTTTCTTATAAAGGTATGTCCGTTAGAAACGGAAGGAATGACCGTTTCTCAAGAGGAGGAGAAGAAGAAGAAGAAGAGAAGAAGAAGAGGAAGAAGAAAAGAGAAGGAAACGGTTGTTCCTTGAAGGAACGATCGTTCCTTCTCCAAGAACGATCGTTTGTTTCCTGTAATGCTTGTATGCCTTAAGTGTGGTAAGAGTTGACGTGAAAGTGCTAATATGTTGACACGTTAGGATTGTAAGAGAGGTTTGTAGGAATAAGTTGTTGGTGTAGCATTAGTCTTTGTCCATTCTCTCTTTAGTGGGAATCATATTGTGTTGTTAATTGTTATTTTGTATTGTATTGTGTCCTTTCATATAGAGTAAATTATGTAAAGGTAGTTGGCAGATTCCAACAAACACAGTCAGATTCAGAAGGTGACAAAGATTTGTTTCATGTTTACTAGTGGTGGTGGAAATTCACATGAGAAAAAAGGGTCATTAGAGAATTATTTAATTATGAGGGTGAGTTTCATAATCTGTTCTGTTCACACCAGTTCACACACTAAACTAAAGATCCTTAAAATTAATAAGTTTGTTTAGGTGGAAAGCAGTTTGTTATTTTGTTGCCACTACTACCGATCCAGTTTTTGTTTTTCTCTGCACATTGTAAGCAGAAACAACCAATTCCCCATGGAGCCTTTTAATTTTTATTTTATAAAAAGCAAAACAAAAGGACCAATTGGGAAAATTTTAATTGAGTAAACTTATTTTTAGATTCCGTTCAAGTACTTTGTGTGTTACATAACTTAACTTTAATGTTTTTAAAAGTACTAGCTAGATGTCCATGTGAACAAATATCTCTTTGTCCACTTGCGTCTGTAAGCTCATAATTTCCCAATCTATACGTATTATTTTAAATGAGTATATGAATTTTTCCCACCCAAATAATAGTAAATGACAATTTTTCATTTATGAACCTTTAAAATATCATTTTGCTATCATTCTGAAAAAGAGTAAGATATCAAAAGTTCATTATAGGTAAATGTAGGATGGTTAATTAAAAAATGACACCTGATTCTGGCGGTATCGTTGACAGAGTAAAATTGGTTTTCCACCGACTATAGGAAAAACGACCAGAAATTATTCAATCAACGCAAAACAAAACTTTGATTTGCATGGTGGTTAGTTGAATGGTGGTGATGAAGTCGATTTCCAGTGCCAAAATCGACATGAACTTGGGCTACGAAACTCCGATTTATAGTGACCAAAGATTGAGAGTTTACTTTTGATGAGGGTATTTTTGTCTTTATAATTCGTTTGGGTAATTTGAATAACAAAATAATATTTTAAAAGTTTTGTGGATAAAAATTTATCAATGTGCCATTTGTTAGTTGGGAACATGTCGTTAACTCTATTTTAAATAGGACATTAAATCAATGGAGATTATATTACCATATCGATATCTACGTCATAATAACAAAGTACAAACCATAATAAACTTAAATCTGCAAGACATAAATAATACAGAACTATGACAAATAAAGCAAAAATTAATTTAGAAAGGTTCTATTTATACCAACTAAAGGTTCCATTTATACCAACTTTATATACTCAAAATTGTGGTCAAACAATGAATTAGGAAACTAAGGGGATTTATTACTTTCTATATAATATAGACTGAACTGAAGTCACTGAAACCAAGACCAGAAATTTTTATTATTATTCAGAGCCAAAAATGCACTTACCACTTGGAGTTTGAGGCAAATCTCTTGTACTCTCAACAATGAGAGACTCCTTTAACATGTGCTTCAAGTCTTATTTTACCAACAAAACAGGAATGCATCAACTCCAACACAATAATATAGCACACTGATGAATGTTGGAGATCTTATATCGACTAGCTACGCTCAAGTCAATGAGTTTATAAGAGTGGATAATCCTCCCACTCAATAAGTCATTTTGGGTGAGGAGTTAGACCCAACTCAAATTCTAACATGGTATCAGAGCCAGCCCCATTTGAGTTGAGTGATTGGCCAGTGGTCGGCTGCCAAACTACCTCCATTCATAGGTAAGTGGACTATATGGGCTTGACCGTGAGGGAGAGTGTTGGAGATCTCATATCGACTAGGCACGCTCAAGCCAACGAGTTTATAGGAGTGGACAATCCTCCCACTCAATAAGACTTTTTGAGTGAGAAGTTAGACCCAACTCAAATTCTAATTGAAAATGCAAAAGATAGCACACTTTAATAAAATTAAAAATGATAAATTAGCAATCACCATATATCATATTGTTATGCTTAAAAGGTTAGGATTGATGTGAAACCTCGTCAGCAAGAGCCAATCAGGATTCATGAAGGTTTTGTATCATCCAGACGTTGCCACGTCGCGCAGTAACGGAAGAGGTACAGTTCTTGTCAGTGCAATAGGTGAACGTCAGACTTGCGAGTGGTCAGGGATCATCCACCTGCCTAAACCCTATGCAATTTGAGGATATTTCTCGTGCAGATAATCAATGAGATGCAAGGAAGGATTTGCACGACACCTACCCACTTGCAGACTTGTAATCATTATCTTGAATCCTTCCACTATAAATAGAGGACTCCCTTCTCATTTACGGGATTGACTTATCTTAGTCTAAAAATAGCATACTCTCTCTCTCTCTCTCTCTCTCTCTCTCTCTATTTTCCTACTAGATTGTAACTCAATTCGTCACACGCGACCTGATTGTACCCATCTATTAATACAATAATAGTAGACGTAAGATTTGCTTTTGAGCATCTGAACCACTTTAAAAATCGCTTCTCATTTATTCTCTCATCTCGTGTTTTCATATCACATATAATTTTTAAGTTTACTTAGCACTTTGTAAGCGTGAGTTAGTGTCAAAATCAAACATTAACACCGATGAACAATAAAAGCAACAGAAAGAATCTGCTTAGCTATTATTTGGTCATCTTTACTGCTCCCTACATCCTGGTTTAAACAGTGAAATATTAATTCCAATTAAGTAAAGCCTATCAGTTCTCACCAAAAGTAGACCCACGAGTAGCATCTCAACTTTAAGTATGCAATGACATGATTGACGCCATTCCTCCACCACATAACAGAATGATCGTGCAACTACTACACAACTTTGCACCCAGCTTTCCTGCTTGATTCAATAATAAAGTTCCATGATTTAGCCATTAAACAGTTCTGAAAGGAAACCATTTAGCATGTGTCCAAAACAAATGTCACTCAATTGTTTTCCTTTATCAGCACCACTATTGGCCAAGAAATCACATCCTGCAATAATACGTACTATGGGTCCACTTACTGTAACTGTCATGTCCAACGCTGGAAAAAAAATTATCAACCGTGCAACAATGGGAGATTGATTAATGCAATAGAGGGGCCACAACGAAAAGGATTCAAACAACACATTAAATATCATCATCAACCTGAAACACATCACATTTGTACATAGCACATCAAAACAGTTTGGCCACTTATTACCAGAATTCAACGAAACCATTCAATTACTTGTTCGACAATGTCAGATTTACATATTTGAATGTCCAACTCGAACATGTACCCGATGCCATGAAGTATTCAGCACGCCCCTCAAGTTCCAGATGGTTTCAACATTTTCAGGTTGGACGTTCGCCGCTGAATCCACCTGGCCATTGGTGAAAAGAAGTAATACTGTTAAAATACAATTATTGAACCAGGAAATGCAATTTAGTTACACAGCCCTTCCGCCAATTTGCCGAGAGCAGTAAAATCCATCCACCGACTGGCACCAGCAGTTCTCAAAATTTAATCAAATAGACTTTTCTGTCAATTTTAATTTCTGGAGTTTGTTTACTACTTTCATTTTGCTAATCCACCAGAAAATGAAAAACGTTTCTATTAGAAGGTGCAGATCTAAGGACTGTACGGGACATGTAACCAATAACTAAGGGTGTGTTTGTTTTAGTATTTTGAGTAGTATTTTTGAAATATTATTGGTAGGTAGAGTTGAAAGATTATTATAAGGTAGAATTTAAAAATTAACAAAAAAAACCTCTTAGGTTTACAAATTTAACTAAACATCCAAATATATAAAATTTTTATAAAATAACAAAAACACCCCCACTCACCCATAGTTGCTAGATTCCAACCACACCGCCAGAATCTAACGTTACGGCACACAACCTGCCGGATCTGGCCGTCGATGGTGGTTGCCAGAATCTAACAACTATGGTTGGATAGGAGTGTTTTTGTCAATTTATAAATTTTTTTATCGGGGGTGTTTTTGTCAATTAACAAACCTTGGGAGTTTAAAATAATATTTTAATTTAGGATATGATTTTAAAAATAGGTAAAGAGATGTGTATTTGTATTTGGAATAAGGACAAGATAGTGGTGAAATAATGAAACAAACGCAACCTAAGATCTTAATTTTATTCATTTTCTCAGTCTGATTAAACTAGCATCTCATAAAACCATGATAAATGCAAAGGAGTTAGAAAACTAAAATATAGTATGATACAAGCATTTCTGAGTCTTGGTTCCTCCACTTTCTTTATTCAGCTCAAATAGGAAGTGTTATCAATTAAATTCTGTTTGCAATTTGCTAGTACAAATTGCTTCCATCTATATTGTTTTGAGAATCACAGATTCATCACATTTAGCAGTACAACTTCCATCTTCTTAAAAGTTGCTTTGTATTGGCTATTGTAGAGTGGTCCACTGTTAGAATTCTTTTTCATCATTAATGCGTCTCCTACTGTTTTCTATCAAAACAAATCTAGTTTGAAGATGATAACATTTTAATTCAATTTTTTTTTTTCTATAAGAATCATGAAACTGAGTTTTATATGTTGAGCTTCCTTATATATTAACACTATAATGGTGTGTAATTTTGCTGTGAACAGAAAGAAGACATACCGCTTTAGCAACAATTTGAGTGTTCAGTAGCACATCAACTATGACTTCAAAAAGCACCCATGCCCACTTGTCACTGTTCATGCCATCTGCAATGTATTGCATACCAGTTTGTTGATATTTGGAGGCTTCGAGCCAATTTTTGCCTCCATCAACAGATACATCTACTCTCTCAATTCCACGCCCACCTCCTGATACTGCATATCCACTAATTTTAACCTGCAAGTTGTAAAATAGCACAAGATTTGCCAATTAATGATACACTCTGTAGAGAATCTCAGTCCAACTTTTCGTTCAAATAGAAAGCATACTTGTTCTCTTGCTAAGAAATTGAATTGGAGTTTGATACAATATTAAAAAAAATAAAAAAAAAAAAACTATGTATAGAATACATATTATATGCTTTAAGAGTTTTTTTTTTTTTATTTATTTTTTTTAAGGCATTATCAAAAGATATTGCTTAAATTTCAGAATATCAAACTCAGTTATGAATATCTAAAATGTATTTGCCAAACAACTGATACCTTATACTATCGCAAGAAAATTATGGGCAAAATTTTAAATTATGCATGGCACGTCAAAAGTGAATTCAGAAGGCAGATACCCCATTATCAAACAAAATTCAGGTGCATGTCACACTGGATGGTTGATGGGTGCAAAGTATATACATCTATAAGCTAAAAGGAACTAAAATTAGTCTCCAAAGTAAAAAAGAACTAACCTTTCCAGGCTTTATCATATCCACATCCTCCAGAGAACAAATTGCACACTGTCAACCAATAAATTGCCTGTATTTGTCAGGTAATACTAGCACAGTATTTATATTGATGTTTCTCATTAAAAAAAATACCTAATGCACAAACTAGTCAACCAACCATTCTTTCCATTCTTTTCGGCAATAAGTTGTATATCATAGTAAATTGAAATACAAACTTGATTCATAATCTAACTTGATGATTCAAGGATGAATTTTCTCTTTGGCATTAGCTTTAGTAGATATAAGATGGAATAGATCTGGGTTAGAACATGACAAATTCTTGTCAAAGAAAAATAGCAAAAGGCTGTTACAGCTATAGATAAATGTCACACATATATAAGAGCAACGAATACTAGTTCAAAGTTCAAACAGAGCAAGTGAATACCTGACCTTGGCATTAACTTTAGTAGATATAAGATGGAATAGGTCTGGGATAGAACATGACAAATTCTTATTGAAGAAAAATAGCAAAAGGCTGTTACAGCTATAGATAAATGTCACACATATATAAGAGCAACAAATACTAGTTCAAACAGAGCAAGTGATACCTGAACAGGGAAATCCATTAGTGGCCTCCTGCTATCCCAATTGATGTTGTCCCAATTCACAGATGGAGGAAACATTTTGTAGTCCTTTTGCATGAAGAAGCCCTGTAAAATAGCGATGTAAACTCATAATTTAATAAGGTGAACACAGATGCATATATTTGATGCACAGTCAGACAATACCAACCTGGCACTCTTCTGCAATGATGTTAATGGCATCCAACCATTTGACAGAACGAGCACCTATAACACCTGGCACAACTACTCTCAGAGGATAACCATGATCCCTATTAAGAGGCTTTGTCATAATAACAAGATGGTTAACTTGATATTAGTACCATATTAGAGATATTATACTCCCAAAGTTGATCTACCATTAAAAAGAATTAAAAAAAAAAAAAAAAGTTAAAAGAGGAATGATAATATGACAAAAAATGCAGATACAGTAACAAAAAATTGATCTGAGCTAACTGTGTCAGATAGCACAACATTCACATGCAACACAGCTTTTAAGAGCCTCCTTTTTAATCAATTTGGCAATGCCAAGTCATTAAGCACAAAGCCACAGAATGGCATTATAATTGTTAGGGAAAGCATTGGCTTCATTATTCTGTAAGCATGCGTTAGGATCCCACATTGTAAAGGAAAAGGGTGGGCATGTGGGTTATAAAGGGCTTGGGCACCCTCCCTTGGCAAGCTGGTTTTCCAAGAAGAGTTCTACCCAAGCCCATGAAAGACCCATAACCCAGCCAAATTGTTTGAGTTGTTGGAGTGGGTTCGTATCAATTGGTATCAAAGCATGATCCTACACCCACGTGGACGTCGCCTATGTGGCAGGCTGACCCGTGGGGCAGGCTAACCTTGGGCCCAAGCTACTACCGCAAGAAAGGGAAGGGAGGCCTAAGGGAAAAGGGATCCTGGTAGTCAACCAAGGGGTAAAGAGGCCGACATGGACGTTGGTTGCGGAAGCATGGTGGTGTGATAGGATCCCACATTGTAAAGGAAAAGGGTGGGCATGTGGGTTATAAAGGGCTTGGGCACCCGCCCTTGGCAAGCCGGTTTTCCAAGGAGAATTCTACCCAAGCCCATGAAAAATCCATGACCTAGCCCAATTGTTTGTGTTGTTGGGATGGGTTCATATCAGCATGCAACAATAAAAATCCACAAACAGGTTTTATCTCTAGAGATTCCACGAAGCAGTGTTTCGAAAAGACAAGGAAACAGCAATAAATTGGGTGCGTGCAAGGCCCTGATAGCAAAATAACTTGATTTTCCCCAAAATAAGAAAATGAGGAAGCCTAACTCAATAAATGTCTTCTTCTAATGTTTACCTAAACAAGCACAAAATTTAGAAAAAGGCAAGTTTACTCACCTCTCCATTCATCTCATATGCAAGCAAAACATCAGCGTCAGGATTTGTGGCTTGGCTAAGTGGAATTGATGCCTTATATGGGCCTCCCTTCTCCTCCTACAAGTTGTAAACCTTACCAAGTAAATTTCCTTTGCTACCAAATGACAAATTTTCATTGTAATCTTCAAAGGTCAAGGGTGTACCTTACACTTGTCAATGCTTACAAATTCAACATGTTTTCCACCTGACTTGGTGACACTAGTATACTTTGGTATCCCAACCAGTTCAAGAACATCAGCTAATTTGACTCCACCCCAGATGGCTGAAAGGAACTCAGAAAAAAGAGGAATTGGTTTTGCAGAGGAGAGCTAGTACACATGTAGATATTTATATAATTTCAGGATTATTCAAGTACAACAAGACATGCAAATTTTTTTTTTTTATAATTAATTCTAACAGAACTAAAGTTCCAACTTTCCAAAATGTAACTGCCTTTCTATTTCTTTTATTATTTATTGCTCAAAAGCACTAATTTAGGCAGAGCATATATGTCAGGAATAGATATTGTGTCCCCTCCTGTCAAGAAAATGTCAAACCTCGTCAGCCTTTGAACTAGTTATGCGAGAACAGAAGATCCTAGATACGGATATATCAAGGTTATTTTCTCATAAATCTTTTTCCCCAATAGTAGTTACTCCCTTATTTCATTTGATCTATCTTTGATGATTTGGAAGCCCAAATTACCTTATACGGTCATGTGTTTAGCTTGGATGGTCCCTCAACATAATCAACACTAATAAAGCACTTGTTATCTTTTTATTCATTGCTTTTTATTTGTGAAAAGAGAATATAAGTTAAGTGTGACGCACGATATAAGGAACAAACCATTTCCTAAGGCAGAGATATCCCAGCCTACTCCCCTCACTGTTCTGCTTTTGCTCATTGCTGTCCTTCTGTTGCCAGCACACTGTATATGTAAACCCACACAAGCCAAAAAAACAACAATTAAATTCAACATTTTTACACGAGTTATGCATAACCCTCTCTGTAACACATAAATCCATACAATAAACCACACCTGCAAAGTGGCAGTGACATTGTATTTCGGAAGCATCCTGTTATTTAACAACAATGTCAAATTCCTCTAATAGAAACAACTTCATAAAAATTTCCAATTTTTCACTTACTACCAAAAGAAGATGAAACCAATAACAATTCCAATACAAACAGCTTTTAACTCACCTAACATCTTTCATAAACAGGTCTTTAGGATTTTCAATCAAACCACGTATTGAAACATAATATCTACAACACAAAACCGATAACAGAATCAGCATTAAAAAAAAAAAAGAAGCAGCCAAGCATTTCAATACCTGTCGATGTCATCAACCAATGGAATAGGACCGTGATTTCTCTTATAAAAGAAATCAACAGGCGTCACATAAGATGAGATCAAGGCCGACCGCGGCGGCTCAGCATTGAACGGTTCCTGCGCCACCAAAACCAACCGAATCATTAACGAGCATCGATAAAATCAATAAAGAAAAACAGATTATAACGAACGTAAAAACAATCGAGAAAAAAAAAAAAAAAAAAAGAAAAGCTTTGCCTTAGAATTAATTATAAGACTAGGATGGCGAGGCGGCTCTCGAGAGTAATCGGAAGGAGCTGTGAGTCCTGGCATTCTCGAACCTTCTTTCTTCCCTAGCAATCGAGTGAAAGAGATTTTGTGTTCAGTGCGAGTGACCGATTATTGTATTAAAGAGACGAGAGAGTAAAGACAACAAAGTGGTGATGATGACAAGGAGGATATTTACCTCCCCACCCTCCGAAGTTTGCACTTAAAAAAATGACTTTCAAAATATTTTTCAATATTTTTTAATTTAGAAAAACTCACGTGACATACTTAGGATTTATTAAACATATAAAACAGGTTAAAGTGAAACAATTTAAACATATATAAATAATATTATAATTAATAGAAGTTTGTTTAAATTTTAAAAATAAAAAACGACCCCCACCTTTCAAAATCGCTTAATCGAGCCAAATACCCAAAAAATAACCGACGAACATCTTTGATTTTTCTGCCATTTCTGGTGACGAAAGTGCCCTATTCCGGCAAATATTCGATTCTAAAGCTTTCTTACATAAAATCATGACTGATATTCAGAAAGAGGAGGAAAATTCAACCTCACTTCAAATCCTAGACTCTGGTGGCGACGGCAGTTCAAAGGATGTTGAAGAAGATGCTCCGGTGGATCATCCGATGAGTGAAGGTGGTCCAGAGGTAGAGGAGACAACAGTAACACAAGAACAAGAGAAGAATCAGAAAACGGTTCTGAAGAGAAAGACGCCAGCGAGAATTTAGGCGAGGAGGAGGACGTCGATGAAGAAAATGTATGTTTTTTACTTTTTTTTTTTTTTTTTTAATTGGATAAGAAATTTGATTGATTTTTGCGAATTTGGGGGAGATGTAGTTGGTTTTATTGTTATGGTGGTTGTGGCGTTTTGTCGAGCAGTTGGCGGGCATTGGGGGAGTGGCTTTGTTTGGGTTCCAGAGGATGGGGGAAGGCAAGGGAGGCTATAGGGAGGTTGTTTGTGAGAGGTTGGTGGGCTGGGGATGGCAGGAGGTGGTGGAATAGGGGGGCTGGAGGACTACCCTACAGCTGTGCGTGGCCAGCCCTACAATATGCAGGGCAGTCCTCCAGCCCCCCTATTCCACCACATCCTACCATCCTCAACTCTCTAACCTCATTGAACCTACCACAACAGCCTCTGTAGGGCTTGCATTTGCTTCCCCAGTCCTCTCGAGGCCAAAAACACCCACTCCCCGATGCCCTCAAAGCCCATATCCCCCAAATTGGTAGCCTATTGGTTGTTTTGGTTTCTTTTTTATTGCTAATATTTAGTTTATATCGATTGTGTAGATTTTCTGAAGCGTAAATTATAAAGACTATGGGTTGGAGGTTGTAAGCGATAAGATACCGTACTTCCCGGTAAGGATGACAGTTAGGTCGAGTTAGCAAGTTTTTACAAGAATAATGGAGATTTTATGGGAACAGGAGAAAGGTATAGACCGATTCAAAGAGAGTTGTTTCCGTTATTTTGTGAACATCGGAGAAAATTAGAAAAAGGTGTTCTTGGGGCAGGGAGTGCATTATATGTTGTTGCACTTAGCTAAACGCCAAAAAAAAAAAAAAATGTGGTTCATAGTGGATGGAAAGCCACTACGTTTTGGGATGATGGAATATGCCCTGATGACGAGCTTTAGATGTGGGGTATTTCCAGATGCGACAGAGCAAGAGAGAATAAAGAAGAGTAGGGCAGCTGATAACTTGGCTAAAAAAGTTTTGGGGGGGAAGGCGTCTATTATAGGACGCGATTTAGAGGAGAGGTTAGATGAAGGTGGGTATACCTCTTCAGAGAGGTTCAAGATGTGCCTTGGTACGGTTCATGCATTCGATCCTAATGGCTTTTGACTCAACAAAAGTCGTTAATATGGATTAGGTGAAGTTTGCAAGCAACATAGACTTCTTTAATGCTTATCGTGGGGAGGGGTATCATTTTAGCTAACCGTGGACTCCCTGCAAGGAAAAGATATGGCGTTAAAGTAGCACCAATCTGTCAAGAAGAATAGACCGAGCACGTACAATTTATTTGGCTTCCCATGGGCAATGCAAGTAAATATTAATAGCTTTTTGTTATATTTTTTGTATTATATTTGTTTTAATTATGATATAGACTGTTTTTTTTACAATGTATGCTTAGATGTATGAGGTCGTCCCTGTCCTAGCTAAGGCAAGGGCGGGGGGGGGGGGGGGGGGGAAGGATGAAGACTTCGGATTACCGACCGCAATTTTCTAAGATGTTGCGGTGGCACATCGAGAAGTGTATCCATTGGGATTACGACAAAATAGAAATCGAAATTCAAGCGACTCGGGTAAGATTAAAGTATTAATCTTTTGAATATGCATTTGCTTTTAAATGTGGCTTAAATTTGATTGATTTTTTTTCTTATTGTAGGGAGTCGTCTGTCCCTTCCTCATTGCTACTAGGGGTGAAGCGGGAGAGAAGTATGTTACATCGTTCAAAGCATTGGATGATGAAGCAGATGAAGAGATATACCACCTAATGTGAGACCTAGAAGGGGTCACGTATGTGAGTGCAATTGCAGGGCCACTGATTGAGAATGTTGTTGACACCGAGGATGATGAAGCTCCAATCGGTGGGAGGGAGGAGGAGGAGGATGAAGAGGTTCATACGCCTCCACCCAATTGGCAAACCGGTACAACAAGTACCGCTTTGCCGAGGTATTGGGGTCGAGAGAATGAGGTGGTTGACGTCATAAACTGTCTATTGTAGAGTCTTATAACAACCGTTTATGAGAGGTTTGAGAACATGGAAGAGCGGATGAAAAGGGTGAAGGAGAAAGTTGATAGGGTGGAGGAGAAAGTTGGTGGGGTATTGAAAGTGGTTGAAGTGCAACCTGAGTATAAAAGAGAGAGCCGAAAGAGTAAGCATGTAATTTCTCCTTACATGACAGTAACGTATGGAAAGAATAGGAAAACGAAGAAAAAAAATGAGGAAATCCATGAAAGTGGAGAAGCAAAAATGGAGAAGGAGGGTAAGGAGGAAGTGGGGAAGTGAAAATGGAGGAGGGTGAGGCGGGACGCGAAGGAAATAGGGAAGTGAAAATGGAGGGGGAAGGCGGAGGAAGTGGGCAAGTGAAAATGGAGGAGGAAGGTTTAGGAAATGGGCAAGTGAAACCGGATGAGTTAAAGGTCGATTTGTATAGGCCAATAAACGAGAAAGTGATGGGCAGGTTAAGTGCAAGACCGGGGATTATCCCCGGGAGTGGTTTGAAAAGATGTTGACAATGGGCAAGTGGCTCGACGACTCGGTGAGTTATTTTTCCTTATTTTTGCTTATGTTTTCCATGAGGTATTATATACTTATCATGTAGTTTTTATTTGATGCAGCACATCGATGAGGTATTGGCACTTATGAGGTTACGACAGAGCAGTAATTGTGATATTTTGTATCCGCACTATACCATCACCGATGTGGCCTTTGGCAAAACGCTAGTTACTACATATGACAGTTTAATAAAAAAGGCCATTGGTAGAGGTACAATAAGGGGAGGCAAGCAGAAAAAAATTGCCACAGATGACTTCGATGGTGTCGCTAATGATTTTTAGTTTGATGACAGGATGATGCAGTATGTACGGGGGGAAATGCCCAAACATGACAATAGTTGGGCAAACATTAAAAGAGTATACTGCATGATGAACATCAAGGATATGCATTGGATAACCGTCGTCGCGCTACTAGAGGAGGGCTTGCTGTAGATCCTTGATTGCAACCCCAGTATTTGTCTAGAGAAGTAGTTGGAGATGGAGTTGTAGCCACTATGTGTATTGTTCCTACGGTTGTTACGTGACAGCGAGATGTTTTAGCACTTGGGTGATGAACTACTAACTGGAAAGTGGCCGCTCAAGCGCCTTCCCGTCCCGACAAATGACTCAAGGTAAATTTTGTATAAAACTTACATAATGCAACTGTTCTATAAGTTGATTCTAATGCTAATGTCTTCCTCCTATTGTAGTGTTGATTGCGGGGCATATGCACTAAAATTTATTGAGTTCGACATGACCAACACCCTGATGGGCGGCTTGAATGACGAAACAATGAGCAACTGTCGGGAGCGCTAAGCTATTGAGTGCTTCCATGGGCATATAGATCCCTTTTGACTGACCAAAACTCAATCCAAGTCATTATTGATGCTGTAATCAAAAGGTATGGAAGTTGGACTTAGAATTTTTTTATGTGATGCTGTCTTATTAGGTTGTCTTGATTTGGATCAGCTGGTGTTGTTAGGCGTCAGACTGTTGATACTTGGGTTGTGGTGCTACCGCTAATGCTGAAGGTGTGCTGGATAATTTTGGAGGATGGGGAAGTGGCTAAAAAGAATGATGAAGAGGGGGGATGGAGGCTGCCGACCCTGCTTTTGTTTTAGATGTATATAGGAGATTTATTTGTTTTATATAATGTTGTAATTTAATGTAATTGACACATTTCAGATTAATACAAAAACAATTCAATATTTCTCTCCCTCTTTTGAGTTTCAATTTATTTAGTATTCTTGTTACGTGGCATTGATGTGTTGATGTAATTAGGTTGTCAAATTCAGGAGAAAATATGGAATTAATATGTATTGGTGATTTTAGTTTATCAAAATTTAGGATAAAAGCTGGAAAAAATATGTATTGCCCATGATTGCTTAAGCGATATATAAGTGACTACATATATTGCTTAAGCGATAAAGGGTTTTTTTATAAAGGATCGCTTCAGCAAGACAATAACTCATTGAAGCGATCGTGTATCTAGGCAGATGTTTATACTGTCATGGACTTGATGAATCGCTTAAGCGACCAAGGGTAAAAGCAAAGAATTGTTTAAGCGAGACCATAAATTGCTTAAGTGATCGTGCAGCTAGGCAAATCTTGATTCTGCCTCGGACTTGATCGCTTAAGTAATACCAAATTGCTTAAGCGATATCAAATTGCTTAAGCGACCAAGGGTAAAAACGAAGAATCACTTAAGCGAGACCATAAATCGCTTAAGCGATCGTGCATCTGGGCAGATATTGATTCTGCCTCGGACTTGATCGCTTAAGCGATACCAAATTGCTTAAGCAACCACGGGTAAAAGCGAAGAATCGCTTAAGCGAGACCATAAATTGCTTAAGCGATCGTGCATCTGGGCAGATATTGATTCTGCCTCAGACTTAATCGCCTA